CGGGAAAATTTGCGCACCTGCATGCAAATTCTGACCCATGCATGCGTACAAACTCTTTATCCTGGAGTGAGAAAATTAATGTAAAAACAACTATTTTACACAATAAATATAATATACAAAAAAAACAACAACTATTTTAAACTGTTTTCATGTCAATATACACATTTACATAAAATATTCCACTCTTATTAATTGAGATAAGCACTGAAATTACATAAAGTCATTACGCAGAAGTTAAACCAAAATTATATGAATTTAGACATATTTGTAGCGGATCACTTGATCACTTTTCCTCTTTTAATGACAGCGAGGAGTGCTATAGGTGCACAATAATTAATCTTTAGACTAAACTGCAGATCTCATGTCATGAGAAAATATTTTAGCGAGAACAATGATCAATGATGCGCACTTGCTTCGATATTGTGGCGGACACTTCTGGATTCAGTGGTCGAACGGTCCATTATCCAGCTTGAATAGGTCCAATGATAATAATTTATTGTACAATCACAGCTGCACGGAGATGTTAATGGCATGTGAAGGAATCTCAAAAACATTATGAAAAATACCACTGTATATGAAGGATACAACTTGAAGAAAACAGTAAGATTTGCATGTTTCCTTTTTAAAATACTTCGTCAATGATGCGCCGAGTCCAATTGTACATACACTGCAATAAATATAGGTTTATCTGTTTCCACTAAAAATAGCTAAAAGATGTTCACCTTATCAGCTAAACTGCAGAAATTTAGTTTGATTTGAATTGTTTAAAACAACTGAAATACTATTTGGCCAGTGTAAAATAATTAAATCAGCTCTATTCTAAAATATTTATCTGAGAAATATTTGATACAGTTTTGTTTTTATGCATATTTTGATATACTTATTCTAAAACATAACAAGGATATTGGATGATTTTTAGCAATAAAAATTAATGTATGGCACAAATGGCATTTATTGTCCGTATCTTATATTTCCTTAATGTCTTCTTTGATGGTGTTAAACATGGTGTCACATGGATGGGAATATGCATGGAAATGATATGCAGATGAGGTTATGCATAGTAAAACTAGACGTTGTAAGCTCCATATATGGTGATTTCGGGGAGGAGTCAGGGTGGAGATGCACGTACGCACAATCTTCCCCTGACTGGGATTTATGAAGGGATATTTGCGCAGGTTCTGGCGTATGCATGGTTTTATAAATATGTCAACTTTTGTGTGTACGCAAAATCTATTTTTTTGTGCGTACGTTCACTTTTAGGATGAAATCTAGGGAGAGTTTTATAAATGAGAAGCCCCTCGGGCTACAGTTCCTCGACCTGCTCTCTATTAATCTCTCTGTTTGCTCTCTCTGCTCTGAACTCAAACGAACGAGAGTTGCGAGCCTCTCCAGCTGCTGAGGTGAGGGGCTGTTTCTGGGATCTGTGTTAGTTACTCACTTAAAGGGCACCTATTATGCAAAATTCACTTTCACATGTTGTTTGGCAGTGTTGGCAGTGTGCGTACACAACCACCCTATAATGATAAAAATCCACTTGCTCCTTTTTTTTTGATCTCCATATATCATAAGCAGCGTCTCAGAGCAAGCTGATCACAGAATCCGTAAAGTGTGACGTCACAATTGTGATTCTCTGCTTTTATTTTATTCTTTGGGTCATATTAATAGCATAGACAGCAGTATAGGTACAGTATATTATGCTGATGTCACTTAATACACATCAAGTCTGTTCATGTCAAGTCAAGTCTCGGATTATTGTTTGGATGTTTGGATCACTCTGTAAATAAACTGCACTTGGTTTCTTCACTACACTCGCCTTCAGTGGATGATTCGTTACACAAACATTCGTAAACAGCATCGCAAAGTTGTGTAGTTGGAAACTAAACTAGAAATCGCATTCCCCCCTCGTGGAGCCCCCTTTTTCGCCGGGCCCTTGGAATCGTCCTAACCTTAGGGTTAGGGTTAGGATTGACGTCACAATTTACCAGCCCCACCCACAATTGTTGATTGATACTGCCGTAATCTAGCCGAGACACCGCCCTGAGTGGGCCACACACAATCCGCCATGTTTATCTTAACGCTAGAGCATTTAAAACAGCATTCAAGTAAGAAATGTCTTCTTATTAATGCTATAGACATTATTCAGTCCAGAGCAGTAAGTGATTCTCTGCTTTTATTTTATTCTTTGGGTCATATTAATAGCATAGACAGCAGTATAGGTACAGTATATTATGCTGATGTCACTTAATACACAGATCTAATACATACGATTCCTTTCCCAGATGTTTACTTCACAACCATAACCGACTGTGTTTTTGTAACGAAGTCACAAGTTGCGTGTTTTTAACATAAACTCGTGTGTGAAAAGAGAACTTAGTACTCATGCCGTGTGCAGCCACTTTCTATATGCGTGCTACAGATGTTTGCGCTCAGAAAACCGTCTATCAGACGTTTAAACTAATATGGCCTTAAAACGCGTGATTTCAGCGCGATAGACATGATAATCAAAACTAGAGATCGACCGATATATCGATTTACCGATATTTTCCCGATATTTAAGCATTTTGGGTGTAGGACACTATAGTTCATTTATGTAAAGTGAGGATAGCAAAATAAACTAAACTGTGATATATTATACCCAAAAATTCTTCATACAGTGGACTACCAGTCAAATTGATACAAATTTGGGACCAAAAATTATTCAGACCGAGGAAAAAATTGAAGTTCAGGTGTGCATGAAGCTGGGTGACAGCATGCCCAGGAGACTACAGGCTGTCATACAAGATTCACTTGTTTAAAACACCCTAAATTGTATTAACATTTACTATATAACCATTATTTCGCTAATAAATATCTAAATAGATACATCTCTATTGAAATTAATTATTTATTATCTCCACGAGCGATCGCAGTTTGAGTATAGTTCTGTGTAAATGCATAGATAAACCACGCTGTCAGCAGGCATTTCATAATCTAGAACGACAAAAACATTATTACCATGAAGATGTGATGCAGAAGTTGGTTGTATCTCTATTTTAGCTGAGAAATGCAATAAAATACGATGTTCATTTATTTACTTTATAACAGTAAATAAATATCGGTTCTGCATATCGGTTATCAGGCACATAAACATGCAAATAATTGGCATCGGTTATAAAATATCAATATCGGTCGATCACTAATCAAAACCAAACAGATGTTTTTTTAGCAGGTCCGAGCTGTAATGGCGCAGCTCTATTCTGGAAAAGGGGGCGGGGAGCAGCATCTCCTTTGCATTTAAAGAGACAGGAACGAAAACAGCATGTTTCTGCTTCCACTCAAAATAGGCATTTTCAAAATGATATAATAAATTATCTGTGGGGTACTTTGAGCTGAAACTTCACAGACACATTCTGGGGACACCAGAGACTTATATTACACATTGTAAAAAGGGGCATAATAGGACTTTAATTAATAGGACTACCGCACAGCGCACAGAAGTATAAATCCAACAATAAAACAAAATGAATATTATGAAATATGAGCTGAAACCGTGTGTAAATCAGTGTAAATCAAAAAAGACTGTCCAACGGCGACACCAGCAGATGAAGTCGAGGTAGTCATTTATATTTTATGTAAATTAGTTAATCTATTTTGGTGAGATATGGTGAAAATGGGAGTCGTTTTGGAAAACTAAAGTGTAAACGTTGTTATAAACTGTTTACTTCTTATGTCAAAAAATGTAATTCACTAATCTGAGATTCTGAAATACATAAATTAATTTTATTATTTTTCTTTTTTCTTTCTTTTGCTTTTTGTTTCTCTGTTGTAGTAAGTATTATTAATAATTGTAACTGAGTATGTAAGGATTTATTTTTATGTGTTAGCCTGCAATGTTCTGTGAGTTTAATGCAATAAATGCATAAAATAATAATAATTAAAATCTCTTAAAAACAGCGACTTGCTGCCACCCTCTGGTGGTTTCAGTTTCCTATTTAAAATAATTGTTTTAATCTTTTTTACCATTTCATATTTCCATATTCATAATTTATATTTAAAATACGAATTTTATTTCAAAGCAAATAGACTTCCAGGTAGAGTCCCAGCTCGTAGTGCTTTTGATCCCAGTCTGTAAATCCAATGCTACTTCAGATGCAGTTTCTGAGTGCTAACTTAAATGCATTTATACATGTTTTATTGTGTCAAGTGTCTACATACTTGGGCCAAATATAATAAAGAAGGCAATCATGTTAGTTGTAAAGAATAGTTTTAAAATTTAAATGTATATTTTCTCTTAAATTAGTTCATACCATCCCATTTTGATTTTTAAAAAATGCCAGAATCAAGGTATTTTTTTTTTACCTACATATTGATCTGAGAATAACTTTATTTAATTTTTTACACATTCAGAGTTATCAGACTGCAAGACTACACAAAGCATACAAACAGATTATAGCCGAAACTCTCATGAAAAGGTAAACAGTTGTAGTTAAGTTTGCTTGACGCTGAAACGTAATTAGGTTTTTGAGATACAAAGAGTGTGGACTAAAATTCTCAGCTGTAACGGTGGACACCATATTTGAACAGTTCAGAAAAGATGAATAATTGTCTGGACAACTGAGATTTCCCTATGGAGATGAAACTCGGATCATGTACTGTCTGAGAGAGATTTGCCAGGCTGCGGCCTTGTCTTTCCATTCATCAAGACTTTCTGCACCAAACCAGTTCTCTCTCATCGACAAAACTTCAGCTAAGAGGATCAAAGAGCCTCAACGAATTGTAAGAACCAAGCTTAGTCTCATTAACTGATACATTAAGTATCATCTACTTTTTTTTTTACAAAGTCTACAGGTGATTCTGTCAGGAATCCCCCAGACCACAAACTTGATCCAAAATACTTACTGATCATAATTAATCACTACATATTTACCTTTTTAATGGGCTAATTTTTTTGGCACAAAAATTCACCTCAGTCAGCACTTTACTTAAAGGAATAAATGAGAATTGGCTGAAAATGTGCTCACCGTCAGGCCATCCAAGTTGAGTTTGTTTCTTCATCAGGTTTGTAGAAATGTAGCAGTGCATCAGTGTATCAGCAATGGATGCTTTGCAGTGAATGGGTGCCATCAGAATGCGAGTCCAAACAGCTGATAAAAACATCACAATAATCCACAAGTAATCCAAACCTCTCCAGTCCATCAGTTAACGTCTTGAGAAGCCAAAAGCTGCCTTGCCGTCAGAATGAGAGTCCAAACAGCTGATAAAAACATCACAATAATCCACAAGTAATCCACAGCACTCCAGTCCATCAGTTAACATCTGGAGAAGACAAAAGCTGAAACAAATCCAGCATTAAGACGTTTTTAACTAAAATACCATAGAGTCCATAATCCATAATAATGCTTCCTCCAGTGAAAAAGTGTTCTGGTGTGAATCAGGAAAGAAATCTGCACAGATCAAGCAGCGTTTACAAGCCAAAACAGCTCTGTGAGAGACAACAGGAGATGCACTTTTTCACTGGAGGAAGAGTTATTATGGATTATAGACCAAGCCAAAACTTTACAAAACAACTGCAACTGTTTCCTTGTAAGTGTGATGTTTAAAATTCTATTTACAAATCATCAAATACCATCAAATACCGGTATGAAGTGTCTGTGTAATGTGTGTTCTTTTATTAATTGGTGGTAGTGCTTATTTTATGAGTTTTTAGGCAGAACATGGCTATCTAGACCAATTAAAACCAACAAACTATCAATGTGTCCTTTTTATTATACACTCATGTTTGTTAAAAATTATTCAAACTGAATCTACATTATAAAACTGACCAGTGATCAGTTAAAACCATTTAATAGACACCGGTTCGTGAGTTTTTGTGTTTGCAAGGACGAACAGAAACGAAAAAGTTTCAAAACTGTATGAAGTAACGACACTTCGCTTGCTGAAATCATTTGACTTGGGAGTTTGAGGCACACTCTATACCACTGAATCGAAACAAAAGTTTATTCAGATAGGCTATTCAAATAATCACATCTTTGTATATAAGCATACTGTGTCATGTGTCTCCAGTGACCTGCAGAGTTTAGCTCCATCCCTAAAGAAAACACAGCTGAACCAGCTAAACAAGGTCTTCAGACTCATTAGAAACTACCAGAAACTGTGTTGGAGCTTAAATCTGCGGGACAGTGGCCCTCCAGGACCGGACTTTGACACATGTGGTTTAAAGGCATAGTTTACCCCAAAATGATGGTTCTGTCATCATTTACACACACATGTGTCATTCCAAACCTGTACGACTTTCTTCTGTGGAAAACAACAGAACATACTTTGAAGAATGCTGGCAACCAAACCACTTTGGTGACTAATTCCTTAATTACTTTTCAAACGTTTCATCTCTGACATCCAATCTTACTTTCATGAATGCTTTTTGAGAATCGCGTACTCTTGATTTCAGTAGAACAGACCAACGTTTCTTAATAGAACAATACTGACCAATATTGAAATCGTAATTTTGCTTGACTACTGACTTTCACTGTATAAAAAAAACAGACATTTTCCTAAAACATCTTCTTTTGTGTCGTCAAGTGGAAGTCAGTCAGTCATACAGGACAGGTGTGGATCCACACGAGAGAGAGAGTACAGTAAATGATGACAGAATGACCATTTTTGGCCGATCAATCCCTTTAATAAAGACACACTTGGGATTATTCTGGTCTACGCCAATTTATCATCTGCTCAAATCACATAAATGACACAGTTTGAGTTCAGAGCAGAAGGTGACGAGTTCGCTATACTGTAATAACCTGACTTACATAGTCATTATTATTTATTGTGTATTCTCATTATTAGTGTTATATATCATTTTGTGTGTCTGCACTATGTGTGTTCTTCTTTGCACTGGAAGCTCCTGACACCAAGACAAATTTACTTGTGTCAATAAAGCCCTTTCTACAAATCACAATTCTGAAAACAAAATAACAATTTACAAACGCAAATGCAAGTCTAAAAAACAAAATAACAATTCAGAAAGCACAACAACAATTCAGAAAACATTATAACAAGTCAGAAAACACAACGACAAATCCGAAAACAAAATAACAAGTCAGAAAACACAATGACAAATCAGACAAACCGGAAGAGGTAGGTATAGTTTGAGACAGCGCCATTGGTTTGGGATTACTCACCGCTGACTGGACGAGACATCTGTCAATCAACGTATACAGGGAAGAACCAGCCGAAGAACAGCAGAGTCGTGGTAGAAAGTTCGGAGATGGTATTAAAGTAGCTCAGTTTAAATGTATTGTATGAATTGCCCTTACTATGGAATAAAAAATACGGAGTGTATATTTACATTTAGTTAAAAGTGGCTGTAAAACATCAGATCCAGTGGCGCAGATGGATAAGTGTGTGTCGTTGGCTTTTTGACGCGATCGACCCGGGTTCGATCCCGCCTTTTGCCGAACTTTTTTTTTCTCCCTTTTCAAATCGAATTTGTCATTGTGTTTTCTGAATTGTTGTTGTGTTTTCTGAATTGTTATTTAGTTTTTTTAGACTTGCATTTGCGTTTGTAATTTGTTATTTTGTTTTCAGAATTGTGATTTGTGTTGCACTTCTCGGCCACCGTACCTTTCTGATTCTGAGCAAACAGACACATCTGAAACATTTACAAACAACAAATATGAATTATTTAATAAATAAATCATAATCAATCAGATTTTGTTATATAAACACATTGCAAACTCCACACCACAATTTGTGTTTAGAAATTATCGTTCGTACTACCGAGGTATTTTATAAAACGTCGATGTTCAGTCGAAATAAACGTTTTAAAAGTGAATGAATATGACCGTTTTACTCTCTCTAAGGTGAGGTATAATTTTTCCAACATCTTTCAAAAACAAATAACGACAACGTAATACAGGGGGGTTGTTATTGAATACAGAAATAACTTACTCACCCGTGTGTCAGGCACAGCGCTTCGGTGAAGTCGCCTTTTTTCACCCAAAATCACCGTAAATTCGCATCATACCGGTACATTTGCTCGAGTAAACAGGACCGTCATGTTCCCGTGTGCTCTCCGAAGAAATAACACTCGCGCGGCGCCTGATATCTCACTGTGCTTACGTAAGGAGTCCTTACGTAAACAGTCAGATATCGGGCGCCGCGCGAGTTTTATTAAAACTAAGGACGTACATGCGGAGTGTTTATGAAACACCTTCACACCTGACAATAACATAAACTCCTGACACTCTTGTTTTTGAACGATATTAGTATTAATTTGAAAACAACCACAAAACAAAACGGAAATGAAATGCGCGCTGTTCCAAAAAAAAAAATAGAAGCGCGAGCGGCTCGAGCTGTGACGTCACAGTGCCGCGGCTATATAAAGCCCTGCTCAGGATTCTAACGGCAGACGCGGATCTGGTTGAGTGAGTGCTTCGAATCAGTCTTTTCAGACTAGAATAAAAATGCAATTTTTAATAATATTTCAGAAAGTAAATGTAGTCAGTCACTAATTAGTGCTATTAATAACACTGAAGTAAAAAATACAAAAATTAAAATATATATTTTAAGATATTTCATAAAGTAAATGCAATTTTTTTATATTTCAGAAGGTAAAAGCTATTTTTGTATAATATTTCAGAAAGTAAATGCTATTTTTTTAATTCTCTAATGCATGTCTGGACTGAGATCATGTGTGTGAACGCTTCTCACCAGTTTAATGGCTTTTCTTCGGAGCTCCCACTCGTTCCACTCATAGGACTTCACAATGTTGGTCTCCAGAGGGTGTGTCTCTGTCTGCATGCTGGCGTCACTTTTAGAGATGGATTTCACCAGCAGCTTCTCTCCTGACTGCATCTGAGACATGAGCAGTACTGTGTGAGTTTCTGCATCAGCTGATTGTGCTTCTAGATTGCACCTTTAAATCAAATACTGACATGCATTTCTTGTACTATTATATATGTCTGTAGAAGAATAACACATACAGGCTTTTCACACTGTGCTTATTTGTCGTTCTAATCCCTGCTTTTTACTCCGGGTAAAGCTGTTATGTAAACCGGTCACATACTGCATTCATCCAATCAATGACCTCGACACCGCCAATATGCAAAAAAGTCTGTTAGTTCAAGGTTTAAGTACGTAGAAGAGCTGCACGATTCTGGAAAAATTTAAAATCATGATTTTTTTTGTCTCAAATAGAGATCACGATTCTCCCACGATTCTAAACTAAACAAAAGTATGTGTGACAAAATATTAATTGCTGCAGTCTATTTAAAAGTGTTTAATTTAAATGAATGATCAAAATTATTAAATTTTACTATATATTTAAAATATATTGAATACTCCAATTTTTTATATTAAAATTATGAAAAAGTGGTTTGAATGAATGATTCAATGACTCAAAAATACTTCACTTGTTTCCTTACTGGATGAGTCAGTTTTTGAACAAATCTCTTGAATGAATGTGTCACAAAACAGATAACAGAGAACACAGGTAAGTGAGTACAGCAGGTTTATTGAAGCCGGGATCAGAACTAGAAATCAGGTAAGTTCAGAAGTCAACATAACATCAGGCTTGTTTGAGATGCGCCTCGCCTGAAATATAGGCGAGAGTAGGCGGCTGAGGTCGACACTAAACTCTGGTCGAGGGCTGGCAAATGCTCTGGGCTCTGGTTAGGGGCTTGAGTCTTTACTGGGAACTGGTCAGGGCCTGGAGCTCACACTGGACTTTGGTCAGAGGCTGGTGCCAATTCTAGACAATGCTCAGTGGATAGCGTAGGCTCAGGGAGGAACTCAGGGATATGTTTGAGCACAGACCCAGAAAAAAAAAATGAGAGGAATCCTGGCCGTGACGGGGTAATTTAATCCATCCGTGAAGGGAACAGCTCTCCTAGCCGTGACAAGGGAGAGTAATTTGGCTGAAGAGGGAACAGCTCTCCTGGCCGTAACAAGGACATTTACTTCGACTGAAGAGGGAACGGCCCTCTTGACCGTGATGAGGGAGCTGGATTTCACAGCATAGGGAATGGCCTTTTTGACCGTGACGAGGGATCAGGGTTCCACAGTACAGGGGATGGCACTTCTGGCTGTATTGAGGAAGTTGAGTTTCTCAGCGAGAGGATCTGCACTCCTGGCCATGATAGGGTAGCTGATTCTTACAGCGATGGG